AGTGGTTTTCGGAATCTCATCGCGTTGCCGGTCGACTCGTCGGATTCTCTATCGCCTCAATGGTATATTGTTGTCTAAGTCTTACTATGTCTCGATGTTTTTTGTTCTCTTTGCTTTGAATCGCCTCACCTTAGCCACCGTAATCCTTTCAATTCACCAACAGAAGCACTTTGCCTTGTTTTGCCTTGCCGTCTTTGTTTCGTTCTATCTCGTCTCCGTTGACTGTTTTCGCAGTTCATCTTCTTCCTCGATCAGTCTTCCCCACAGGACACTTCATCTTCCCCACTCCATCAGTCTTCCCCACATGATGTACACAAAATCAAAACATTATTCCTCACTAAAATGAGTAATTTGTGATACATTGAGGCAAAAGATAAATTAATAGATGTAAAAACTCATGTTTAAAAAATTAGAAAGGATTTCATGATGTTTAAGAAGCGTCTTTAATTTTAGGAAGGTACTCCTAAATTTGTGGTTTTAGGATGTGAACTCGAGAACTTATGGCTTATCAGCTATTAGTGATAAGATTCAGCATGTGATGTAGTTACTAACATCATTCCCTTGAATTGGAGACAATAAAACCAAACCAAAACTGAATTGGAGACATTAATGGAATGTTTAAAGACTGTAGAAATTAGGAAAAACTAGAAAGGAGGAATGAATTATAAATTGATGTAATAATATGAAAACTATATTCTAAAAAGGTCCTGGAAATGCAAAGGAAACTAAAAAATAACTATAAGAGCTCTAATGATTAATTGATGTATACATTAAAAGCTTTGCCATTAGCTCCCTTATTACTTGAGTGTAGATATGCTGGCACGAGTGTAGATCTGTTGGCTCGAGTGAGAAGAGATCATCATGATGAAATCCTAACTTTCTAGATTTTATGAAACAAGTGCAAATAGATACCTAAATCTGTTAAATATACTTTAACATGAACCCTAAGATCTTAAACATCTATATTAATCACATAATATAATCATAAAGAGGGTTAAAGTAATACATCCACTCATTGTAGAAATGATGCTTTCTTTAATGGCTTGAAGCCTTCTTTAGTTTTCCTTTCAAGCTTTCTTGATCAATGGCTTGTAGTCTTGAAAAAAACTTAAATCTTTTAAGTGGAAAATAAAGTTTCTCTCCCCTCTCCTATAAACCCTTTCCTTTAAGTGTTGTTTTTGTTCATGATGATTTTGATGGAGCAAGTCATCTATTTATAGGTGGGGAGAGGACCTCATTCCTCATTAGGGTTTTGCCTTCCAATTTAATCTCAACCATCCATCAAAGTAGAGATTAAGGCAATGGTGACAAGTGTGAGGACAAGTGTTCTTTTGCATGGTTCTCTTAACATAAGAATGACATGTGTCTTAACACTTGTCCATTTATGAACCAAAATATGACATGCAACTTAACACTTGTCTCTCCTATAAACACTTGTCATCTTATTCTTCTTTAAATTCATTTAGGAATTAACTCCTTAATAACCAATTTTATTGGTTACCAAAATTTTATCAAAATATAACAATCCCAAATAAGAGACCAATTAACTATTAGACCACATACATGGGTAAGAATAAATAATTTTCATACATTCTCGCACTTGGTCGTTAGTCTTAATGGTTTTATTTGGAAATCATAAGACCGGCATGATATGTTATATTTATTCATTTGGTCTTTCATAAGTGTCATGGCTAATCATGTAATCAATGAGAGTCATGGCGGTCACACATCATTTTGCAACATGATTCCTTCCATGTACTACTGCATTGACTACTTTCATAGCTAGACCATATGAAGCACTCTCTCGTGAATCAAGGGATGGTACAGGGGATAGTTCAGGTGATTGACTCGCTCAATCGCTGGGATAATCGACTCACTCGATCAATGAACGAATAAAGGATGTTGAATCACTCAACAAACTTAATCTGCAGATTCCAATAGACTTAAGAGACTCACTCAGTTAAGACTAATGAATAACAATGACAAAGGTTTGAACTTTGACAAGAAGAAACTTTGCTATTACTTTTAAAATGATCAAGGGTGTTTTTATAATGTGACTAATGATCAGCTTATATAGGGCGGAGTACAACATTCTAAAATCTAAACAAAGAAATAAGATATGTGATCAAAAACTAGCCGTTGGAGTCTTTATGGTGGAATCCTTGGTCATATAGTTGATATATGATTGGGCTTATATCTGGACAGTTTTTGGGGATATGTTGAGTGTCTTGGGAGCTTCTTGATGGTAGAAATATCCTTAAACACGCACACAAACAAAGAAGGAAGAAGCCATTGTGTGTTGATGCCAAACGGGTCCAAATAAGGTAAGTAGAGCTCAGAATTGATCCTCCTGATCAAGTGTGGTGTGGTGCATCCTAGAGGGTGTAATGAAGCTTCTAAATGATATGGAAATTCTCCAGGTCGCCATGGGAATATTTGGAATGAGCCATTTAAGAAAGCATCCATTTTAAGCTCCATAAAGATCATATGAGATGAGGTGCACCAACTCTTGTGTGATATGGGCCTTGAATGGTGTAAAGTGTCTTCTAGGCTCCAATTCAAATGTCCATACACACCATTACGTGGTACAAGAAAAACTTCTTTGAAAACTTCATCTGGTCTTGTACTACTTCAGGTTCGTCAGCGAGTACTTCAGGTCCGTCCGGGAGTACTTCAGCTCGTACGTCAGGATTTACCATCGTCAAATCAGTTGCTTGGTAAATGATTCCTCCTGACCCATTGTTCATCTTAGGGTTAATTTGCTGGTGAATAATTAACCCTAGGACTTGAGCTTGTTCATCACTCCATATAGGCAAGCATTCTCCAAAATGCTCCATGTGAATCGGTTTGGTGTGTGGACTGGTTTGCTCTCGGTTTATTCTGGTTTTGATGTCCGCATCATACCCTCTCTCTTGAAAAAGTTCCGACCTCGAAACTGTACAATATGCACCAAGAGAAAGCAAGTTAGCCTTCATTCGATTTTTGGTGTTTAGGGTCTTACCTTGGTATTGTTGTAGCTTGGCTATGCGTAGTGCATCAGGCGGTCCTTCTCTCAGTATGATATTGTTGAATTCAACATTTTCTTCTTCTTTAGTGGCTGAGAAACACGATCTAAGCTTTGAATATGGGTGCATGTTATCACACCTTGCTAGTTTCTCCGTTTTCTCCAAATTTAAACTCCTTTTGGATGTAGTTTCTTGATGGCCATTGTATTCTATGATTTCTGTATCTTTCTCGAAACTTGACAATAAAATCAAGTGCATTGTACTTGAAGTTGAATTATTAAAAACAGAAAAGATAAAGCAACGATGAATGGTGGAATTATTCCAATATCGAATAAGGTTATAAGTTCCACTTACTAGTAGTTCTAATGGTTGCTTCTCAATGCTCATAATTCTTTCAACTTCTTTATCCTTGTGCTCCATAGTGTGACCTGAATCAACATTCTTTGACAAGAGCAAGTGTATCATACAAGAATTTGAATTTTCTGAACTTGTTGTAGCTAGACTAGCATTCGGTTTAAACTCTAAAGTTTTTAACCTTCCTACTTTTCTAGTTGAACAATTTGCAGCAAAATGTCCTCTCTTATGACACCTATAACATATCACATCTTTTAACTTAGAAAGATTAGAAGACTTACCTTGAGTTCGTTTGCCTTGTGAATCATGCAATGAGTTTGCACTCGGGTTTGTAGCAATAATTCGAGGGTTTGAATTTATCTCATCTTTACTTGTATTAGCTGCTGACTTAGACTCATTCTTCTCCTTTAGAGTAGTTGTAGTCGTCATATTTGGCTTGGGGCTGAAAGCTCTCTTAGGTGAAGTCTTGGACTTTGCTAGATTCCATCTTCTTGTTTTGGGATTGGTTTAGATCCATAAATTGTATTGAGACATGTCGCTTTCATCTTCCACAAACTCTTTATACAAAAGTTGCTTCATCTCTACCCAAGAAGCATTTGGTTCATCATATTCAAGACAAATATATGCATCTTGTTCCCAACGCCTAAACGCATCCTTGGTTAAGGTATCCTCCGCATAGACCGTCTTTTCCTCCTCTGGAATTTGGTTAGATGATAACCAATCCTCCATGTCTTCTTCCCAAAGCAATTATGCTTCTGGCCCTTGGTGATGGCCTGCAAAATTAATGTAACGGGATTCATCTCTTACAACCTCACTTACTTCTTCATCTTCTTTGACAGAGTCTCCTTCTGAATCATCTCTTCCAGCCTAACTTACGGCTTCATTCTCTTCATCAAACTCTTCTTCAAGTTTTGATCTATCACCAAAACTTGCTTCAAACTCTTCTAAACTGAATTGGGATTCAGTTTCTCCTTGGTGATCTTCCTCATGGTCAGAGTAAGGTATCTCACACCATAGTCTCTCTTCTTCCTCATGATGTAGCTCTTCTTGTTCTTGACTGGACTGAGAATCAGTCTCCTCATAATATGCCTCCTCTTCATTACTGATTTGAGAAACATCATCTCCACACTATGAATCATCTCCATGGAATTGTTCAGCTTCACTCGCTTGATGGTCCTCTTTGGTGTACCAACCTTGGTAATTAATAGCATCTAGGGAGTGGTCTGGTGGCTTTTGTTCAGGTTCATCCTCATCAACTTCGTCACTATAATCTGACCTTGAGTAATCTCCATGAGGCCATGGTGTTGCATCATATTCATCCTCCTCATCAAACCAACTTTGGTTTGTATCTTCTTTCTCGGACTCAAAGGAGCTGGAGTCGTAAGACTCTTCTTCTTGTGTTGAATAGCCTTCCATGGCTAAAATCCTTGAATATTCTCTTGCACAAAACAAAGAAAGAGAAAAAGATTAAGAACGTATCAAGCAAAGATAAAACAAGAAAGGAAATAACAAATAAATGGTAAAAAGAAATATGGAAGTTTTTTTTCTTCAAATAAATTCGAAAATTTCAAATGACAAAATGGAAAAAACAATTTTTATTTTTATTTTCAGATTTTATAAAAATAAAACTACGAAACTAATTTTAAAATAGAAAAATATGATTTTTATGGCTTTTTCTATTAATAAATCAAAAATAAATAAAAACTAAGGCAAATATATATATATATTTTTTGAAACAAGGTACTGAAGCAAATCTATAAGAATAAAGCAAGAAACAAAAAAATTTCTTTTTTGTTTCAATAAAATACTGAAGCAAATAACAAGATTAAAGCAAGAAATAATCGAAGCACTCTCTCATGAATCAAGGGATGGTACAGGGGATAGTTCAGGTGATTGACTCGCTCAATCGGTGGGATAATCGACTCACTCGATCAATGAACGAATAAAGAATGTTGAATCACTCAACAAATCCGCAGATTCCAATAGACTTAAGAGACTCACTCACTTAAGACTAATGAATAACAATAACAAAGGTTTGAACTTTGACTAGAAGAAACTTTGCTATTACTTTTAAAATGATCAAGGGTGTTTTTACAATGTGACTAATGATCAGCTTATATAGGGCTGAGTACAACATTCTAAAATCTAAATAAAGAAATAAGATATGTGATCAAAAACTAGCCGTTGGAGTCTTTATGGTTGAATCCTTGGCCATAGAGGTGATATATGATTGGGATTATATCTGGACGGTTTTGGGGGATATATTGAATGTCTTGGGAGCTTCTTGATGGTTGAAAGATCCTTACACACGCACACAAACAAAGAAGGAAGTAGACATTGTGTGTTGATGCCAAATGGGTCCAAATAAGGTAAGTAGAGCTCAGAATTGATCCTCCTGATCAAGTGTGGTGTGGTGCATCCTAGAGGGTGTAATGAAGCTTCTAAGTGATATGGAAACTCTCCAGGTCGCCATGGGAATATTTGGAATGAGCCATTTAAGGAAATATCCATTTTAAGCCCCATAAAGATCATGTGAGATGAGGTGCACCAACTCTTGTGTGATATAGGCCTTGAATGGTGTAAAGTGTCTTCTAAGCTCCAATTCAAATGTCCATACACACCATTACGTGGTACAAGAAAAACTTCTTTGAATAACTTCATCTGGTCTTGTATTACTTCAGGTTCATCAGCGAGTACTTCAGGTCCGTCCGGGAGTACTTCATCTCGTACGTCAGGATGTACCATCGTCAAATCAGTTGCTTGGTAAATGATTCCTCCTGAACCGGTCTTCTTAGGGTTAATTTGCTGGTGAATAATTAACACTAGGCCTTGAGCTTGTTCAGCACTCCATATAGGCAAGCATTCTCCAAAATGCTCCATGTGAATCGGTTTGGTGTGTGGACTGGTTTGCTCTCGGTTTATTCTGGTTTTGATGTCCGCATCAAAAGAGAGGATTCGTGAGAATATATTACACTTGATCTTCAGTATTGACATGAAGCATCTTGATGAGGCCTTTATCCAAGGACTGTGTGACAGTCCACTTCTATATGTTTGGTGCCCTCGTGAAAAAGGGGTTTGTGGCTATGTAAATCGCTACAGTGCTATCTGAGTATAGAACTGGGAAAGAGGGAAGACCACATCATTTCACAAGAGATGAGAGACGACCCCAATAACATAGAAAATCCCGTGGTTGATCTTCTACTGTCAGGACAAGAAGCATAATCAGAATCTGTAAAGCCTTTAAGAGTGATGTCTGGATCTGCAGAGTAGAAAAGTCCTTGTCCAACAATGCCTTTAATGTACTGAAGAACCTGATACACGGCTATGAGGTGAGTAGTTTGCGGTGCAGAGGAGAATTGACACAACTTGTTTACAGCAAAAGTAATATCAGGGCGAGTGATAGTGAGATACATCAGTCTCCCGACAAAACTGCGATACATCTCTCTATCTTCTAATAAATCACTATCACTCTTTGATAATTGCAGGTTTGGAACCATAGGGGTTGTAACTGGTTTACAAGCCAACATGCCTGAAGTTGTCAACAGTTCAAGAGCATATTTCCGTTGACGAAGAGAAATACCAGAGGAATTACGAGCCACTTGCAAACCCAAGAAATACTTCAAAGGGCCAAGCTCTCTCACTTTAAAGCTTCTGTCAACTGTGTAGCTCACGTAGCAGTAGTGCTTGCAATAAGGATGTCATCAACATAGACCAAAACTGCAAGATATTCATTACCAGAACTCTTGACAAACAATGTATGATCCCCATGGCCTTTAGTAAAACCCAAACGCAGCAGAGAATCAAAAAACTTAATAAACCATTGCCCAGCTGCTTGTTTTGGACCGTAGATAGACTTCTTGAGTCGACAAACAGCATTCTTAGCCAAATGGTCCCCCTTAATCTCTGCATAACCTTCAGGTAAACGCATATATATGTCCTCTTCCAAATCCCCATTCAAGAAATCATTGAAAATATCAAGTTGAGTGAGAAACCAGTTCTTAGAGGCAGATATTTTGAGAAGCAATTTCACAGTGACCATTTTTGCAACAAGTGAAAATGTCTCAATATAATATAAACCCTCTTTTTGAGTGTAACCTTTAGCAACCAACCGTGCTTTATAAAGTTCAAGACTCCCATCAGTATGCAATTTCATAGTGAAAACCCATTTACACCCCATAACCTTCTTACCGGGAGGTAGAGTAGTAACTTCCCAAGTATTAGTTCTTTCCATAGCTCCAATTTCCTTATCAATAGCCTCACACCATTCTTTGGAGTTCTTTGCCTCAGGATAAGCTTGAGGAATCAGAATTTTGGTAATGTTGTTGATGTATAACAAATAAGATTGTGAGATGTTGGAATAAGAAAGAAAAGAGGAGATAGGAAGTTTTCTCACTCGTTGATCATAAATTTGTGGTGATGGAGAAATTTGAGTTAAAGAGATAGGAAGAGAAGGAACAGTACCTGAAGACAAAGAATCCATTGGTGTGAAAACATCTGTTGTAGCTTCAGTTTCTGAGAAGTAGCCAATGGAAAAACTGTTTCATGAAATTCAACATTTCTAGTTATATAGATCACATTACTTTCCAAATCCATTATCTTGTACCCTTTATAACCTGCAGGATAACCCAAGAAGAGACATGCCCGTGCTTTGGGATGAAACTTGTGTCGCTGCTTAGGTGATGTAGAGCCATAGCAAAGACAACCGAAGGTTCTAATGCGGGTGTAATCTAGTTGCTTACCAGTGAGCAATTCAAATGGAGTTTTGTTGGATAGAAATGGAGAAGGTGTGTGATTGATCAGAAAAACCGCAGTCAAAATGCAATCTCCCCAATGAGAAAGAGGAACCTGAGACTGGAAATATAGAGCTCTGGTCACATTCAAAATGTATTGGTGTTTTCGTTCAACGACCGAGTTCTGTTCAGGTGTCTCAGGACAAGAGTGATAAGGAAAGATGTCGTTTGACTAATAGAATTGTGTAAACTGCAGTTCCTTAACATTATATGATCTAAATAATTTCACTCTTTTGTTGTACTGATTTTCAACTCCAGTGATGAAACCAGGAAACACAGTGAGAACATCACTTTTATTCTTGAGTAAGTAAACCCATGTTGCCCTGGTGTGATCATCAACTATAGTTAAAAAATATCTATATCCTTCAACTGTTTCAACTGAAAATGGTCCCCAAACATCAATGTGTAACAACTCAAAAGTTGAATTACAAATGTTTTTCAGAAAAATAGGATAGCTTCTTCTACTTTGCCAAATGACATACAATAAGCAGTTTTCTTATTCTTGTGTCCAATAGTTCCCAAAACTCCAGAAAGAACATCCAGTCTTGAGTAAGAAGGATGTTCAAGTCTCTTGTGCCACATACCAATATCCACCACTGCATTGACTGAAATTGATGAAGATTATGTATCTAACACATATAGATTTACAGTTCGAAGACCTTTACCAATCATCACCCCCTTGATAGGATCATGTATTTGGCAAGAAGAGGTATCAAAGATCACTCGGGAACCAAGATCAGATGTCAAAGAGCTGATACTGATGAGTTGAGACCACTGATCTTGATGGGATGCCATGTTGGCATATTTACATAACTCTCCACAGATGTATCCAGAGAAACAAAAACATTTTTGTCATGAGACACATGGTGAGTTGCACCAGAATCAATCAACCATGTGTCTGTGGACAATGTATGTTTTGAGGCAGCCTGAATACCAATAAAAGAGTATGTGGAGTTAGAAAATGCGATACCGGGGTGATCTAGAGCAAAGTGAGATGTGCTAGCTTCAGCAAGAACTATTATAGGAGGTGTAACCCGAAGTTGAGAGCTGAAAAGAGCAATGAGATTGTGAAGTTGATCTTTAATAAAAGTTCCAAGTAAACCATCAACTGGTGCTGGAGAGTTCTCTGAAGCAGAAGTAAGAGAAACTTGAGCAGCAACCACAGGTGGCTTTTGAGCACCAGATTTTTCCTTAGAAACAAAACCAGGAGGGAACCCATGTTTACGATAACACCTCTCAGCAATATGTCCTACACGGTTGGAGAATGAACAGATTGGTCTACCGTTATTTGGAACATTCTGAACATATATCACTGCAGGGGAGATTGAAGAGAAGATGTCAGTTGAGAAACTTGAAAATCTGTGGAAGGAGTCACAGGAGAGAAACTCTTTTGGCTATCATCATGATCCAAAATGTTGTAAACTTCAACAAGAGTAGGCAATGCTTTCTTAGAAATGATATGACGACAAACAATTACATAAGACTCATTTAATCCAGCCAAAAACTTAACAGCGCAGCATGAAGAAGCCTTCGATCGAGCTGGTTTCCTATTCGCACGAGCTATAGTCACCATTGTTACTCAAAGAGAGAGCAGAGAGAGATGAAATTTAGCTCGAGAAAGGAAGA